AAAATAAAAGTCAATAGTTTTTAACTTTATGTTCAATGTTTGGTTTGCTGGTTTGTGTGATGTTGGTGGTAGTGTTATTGTTGTTTGTGTTGCTAGTGTGTGTTGTTTTGTCTATATCATGTAATATAAATGCAGTATTGATACGATCTATTGATACGGTGACTGGTTTATTTTTAAAAAGAATTTTGAACGTTTTATCTCCTTTGCTTATTACTTTATGGGGTCCAGAGTATGCAGGCTGTAAGGATCTACGAGCGTCATCTCTTAGAAAAACATGGTCGGTTGTTGCTAGATCCTTAAAGACAAAGACTGAACGACTATTACTATGCTTTGACGCCGGAGATGGATGTAAGTTTTTCGCAAATGTACGCAATCGTGTTATATACTCGGTCACATCCGCTGTCCCATCAGCTTGCGGTATAAAGAATTCGCCCGGAAGTCTAATAGCTTCCCCATAAACCAATTCTGCTGATGAAGCTTGAAGATCATCTTTAAAAGCGCTACGTATTCCTAACAATACTAAAGGAAGGGCTTCGACCCAGTTTTCATTTGCGTGACAGGTGATGGCGGCCTTCAGTTGTCTATGAAACCGCTCAACTAATCCGTTGCAAGCTGGATGGTAGGCTGTAGTTTTTTTATGTTGAAATCCCACCATATCTGATAAGCGCTTGAATAACGCTGACTCAAACTGTCTTCCACGATCCGATATAATGTCTGTTGGACATCCGAAACGAGCTATCCAACCGCAGACTAAAGCTTTAGCTACTGTTTCTGCCGAAATATCACCTAACGGTATTGCCTCAGGCCATCGAGTAAATCGATCGATTGCTGTAAGACAATATCGGTATCCATGCGCCAATGGTAATGGTCCTATCAGATCCATATGAATCTGCATAAATCTGGCAGCCGGTAACTTGAAAGTGCCTATAGGTGATTTCACATGCCTAGTGATTTATGCACGTTGACATGCCAAGCATGTTCTGGTCCATTCTCGGCAGTCTCTTCTAACACCCGGCCACACAAATCTTTCCGATACCAGTTTGGCTGTGGCGTTCGCCCCAGGATGACTCAAAGAGTGAAGGCTTTCAAACACTTGCCTTCGAAGTTCCTTTGTTACGTATGGCCTCGGTGAATTGCTTCTCTCATCGCAGTACAGTTCAGTATGAGTATCTAGTATTTTGAGTTTTTTGAGCCATAAGGAAGTACTACTGTTCAGGAGTTGTTGTAGTTCTGCGTCGGAGACTTGAGCTTTAGCTAACACTGTCATATCAATGGGCTGAGTAATGTCTTCGATTCTTGATAAAGTATCAGCTACCACATTGTTCTTTCCTGAGATGTATCTGATGTCAGTAGTAAATTGAGAAATAAAATCGAGGTGTCTGAACTGTCTTGGTGAGCAATTTTCTTTACGTGAGTGAAATGCGCAACAAAGGGGCTTATAGTCTGAATATGTAATAAATTCTCTAGCTTCCAGCATATGCCTAAAGTGCTTGATAGCTTCATAGACAGCTAGAAGTTCACGATCATATGGCGAATACTTTTTTTGTGCTATACTTAGCTTTTGTGAGAAAAATGCAAGTAGCTGCCATGAACCTTCTTTAAGCTGCTGCAATACAGCACCAATAGCAGTATCCGAAGCATCTGTCGCCAAAGCTATTTTAGCAGAACAATCACGATGTGCTAAAAGTGAAGCTTGGCATAATCTCTGCTTGCATGATTCAAATGCTTATATCTGTTCCGTGGACATCTGAATCGGATGAGAACCTTTAACTGCACCTGTCAAGAGTTCGTTCAGAGGCGCTTGATACTTAGCTGCATCGGGGATGAATCTTCTGTAAAAGTTAAGCATGCCCAAAAATCTCCTTAACTCTTTGACGGTTTTTGATCTTGGAAAGCTTTTAATCGCTTCTACTTTGAATGGTTGTGGCTTCGAACCCTCTGCTGAAATATGATAGCCTAAAAATATAACCTCGTCAGACCCAAATACGCATTTAGCGGTGTTTATTACCATACCAAACTTCTTTAGACGAGTAAAAATCTGACGAAGGTGATCTTTATGTGTCTCATGGTTCTTTGAGTACACTAAAAATCATCCAAATAAGCATAGCAAAAATCTAGGCCACGAGTCATGTCATCTACGAAGCGCTCAAACGTTTGTACACTATTACGGAGCCCGAAATTCATGTACGGGAATTCGTAAAACGAATTTGATTGTAGGTTTTCACTAGATCTAAACTTGTAAATATTTTACAACCGGAAATATTGTGAGCGAAATCCTGAATATGGCGTATGGGGTAGCGGTCTGGAATTGTTCTAGCATTCAGTGCTCTGTAGTCACCACTTGGCCGCCACCTATTATCCTTCTTAGGTGTAAGATGCCATGGTGACGACCATGGTGATTCTGAAGGCGTAGCAATACCAACCTTTAACATTACTGCAAACTCCTCTTTTGCTATTTTTAACTTATCAGGCGATAGTGGCCTAAGTGTACAGGCTACCGGCGGCCCTGGAGTGGTTCGGATGTGATGCACTGTATTGTGCTTAGACACACCATGAACCCCTGCTGGGCGTGTAATATCAGGAAACTCTTTTAAGACATCATGATAAACCGAATCACCAGTAGCAATTTTCACAGAAAATATATCTAAATTAGCAGGCAAAGCTATGGTGGAGAGTGAAGTGACGCTATCTATGAGGCGTTTATTTCTACAATCGACAATCAGATTTTAAAATGACAAAAAATCTACACCGATAATTGCTTTTGTTACATCTGCTACCACAAATTGCCAAGTAAAATCGTGGCGCAAACCTAAATTTGAAGTTAAATGGATATATTGAATCGTTAGCTGCACTTAGTTCATAATTAGTTTTTCGCCTATCCTCTTTAATAGCCGCTCGCAGGAAAACACAAAGATCGCTGCCTGTATCAATGAGAAACTGCACCTTCGTATGGCGGTCAGAAACGAATAAGCGACCAGTACTTGGGCAATCGTAGGTCGCCGTTACCGATTGCCTTGCACATTTCCCGACTGAGAATAGTCGCAAGGTTTAATGCACTTACTTGCACGATCGCCGTATTTACTATGGTACCAGCACGTAGGGAACCTCCTGTGACTGGAAAGAGATCTGGTGTAGCTTTTCGGGCGGCTTCTACATCGTAATTTTAGACGCCTCTTGTTTAAGTAAGTTGTTAGTGTCTTCACTTGCCTGGTAAGCTCAGCTATTTGACATTCCAGTTTCTGTACTCTGTCCTCTGGTGCATGACTTGATGTAGATGCTACTTGTGGATACAGAGGAACCACGTCATGAATTTTGTCAGCTAGCTCTGCTAGGGCTTCAAGGGAAGTGATCGTTTGTGACACGATGATTGTTTGCATGCTATTTGGTAATCGACTCATCCAGATAGTTCGAAGAAAGTCATCAAGTATACCCGGTCCAGCCAAGTGTTGCAAGTGCCGAAGGAATTGCGAAGGTTTTCTGTCACCTAACTCTTCGTGCATTAGTAATTGTTTCACTTTTCTGTCTTTGGAAGCTGACAAAAGTTTAATTAATTCTGTTTTTAGCTTTTCATATTTCTCTGTATTTGAAGAGGCGATAATTATATCCTCGAACTCTGCTGCATATTGTGGTTCGAGTTGACTTATTACGTAATAAAATTTTGTTGCATCTGCTGTTATATTCGATATCGCAAACTGTCCTTCGATTTACGCAAACCAAATTGCTGGTTTTTCTGGCCAAAATTGCGGTATTCGTACGCTGACTCGACAAACATCAGATGATGAGGCGAGACTTTGTTCGGCGGCTTTTTGTTTCTCACTCATATTTATATTGAGCACTTTTACGGGGTCATCATTTTATAGTTCGTTTAATTAGTTTATATGTATGCTTATGCAAATAAAAATAAAAATCAATAGTTTTTAAGGTTGAACAATTATAATTTATATACAAGTGTTTCACAACAACACAGAAGGAGAGAATAGAGTGAGAAGTATAAGCATAGAAATATCACATTGAAGGCAAATATAAAGTCTGTAAAGATCAGCACAGCACAAATATAACAAGTCTTACGAGAACTTATTAACTATAACAGTAATGTCTTAACACGAATAAATGGGCGAACAGTATGGCATACGAAAGCGTACTGGTTACTGGTGGCACAGCCAGGGCAAGCGATCGGAGCAAGGGCGGCCAGCGGTGAACCGGTTTGCTGGTGACATCGCGCCATCGGACCGACCGCCGCATTAGAACAATAGCCACTGCTAATATTTATGTACATATAATAATTTTTGTCGTATTGTCCGTTTGTAATTATGATATTCATATTTATGTACAGATTATTTAAATTTAAACATCATATGTAGTGATAATACTTAAATTATATAATATTAATATTTTGTATACCACACAATAAAGGGCAGGTAGGATCAGCTTATTCCCAGGAACATGTTATATGAATATTTTTTAATAATTTAAAACTAACATGGTAAAAATTCAATTAATTTTTGAAGTTATTGAATTTCGTGCACTAAACTACTTTTTTAAATATTACCGCTTCCTTACGAGTAACAATCATTTTTCGATTGTTCTTGTAAGTAAAATGTACATCACTAGCCAACGCACACAATGACAAATCAAAATTAGTCACGCGTTTTCGGGCTGTCAGGTCGTCTATTACGCCAGTATATTCTATGTTTTCAAAAAGTAGGTTTGGCAAAGTTATATATAAAAGGTCGTAATTATATACTCTTTGGTTATGCGAATGAAATAACACACAAGCACAATAAAAAGTCAACTTTATTTTAATACATCACAATTCTCATTAACAATGGCACCCGCTTGAAACTGAAATGTATTCCTTTTTCTCAAGCTCCTCTGTATTATTCAATAGAAAAACAGAACAATAAATAAGGCGGAATAAAAATATATAATTACTATAAAACACAGCCGTCGTTTTAATACTATCGTTTTCTTTTTCGTTTTCGTTTTGTAGGATCTTTTGTCTATTTCATCATCGCGGTACATCCGCTGTCCGATATCAAGACGCATTGCTGTAAAGTAACAGAAAAAAAATGTAATTATTTTGAAAAAGGGTTTTAGATCATAGAGCCCTAGTGGAACTAAGCTGAAGCTATACATCTATTATGTTGATATCATTGCATTCCCATGACCTTGGTCTAGTGGTCGTAAGCGTTGATCATGTTGCCCCGTATTAGAATCCCAGCTCGGGCCAAAATTAGTTATTGGGCTTTTTGTTAAGAAATTCCCATAAGCAGCACAAGGTCAGGAAGATTGTTGAAGATGTTGCACCCCCTTGTCTCCATAAGCACGTAAAGTCATTGGTCTTGCGCCTGATCTCTGTCCAGTTGTATCGGATTACCGTACCATCAATGCAAGTGACCCTTAGTCGTCCCTGACATGCCATTAGATAGCTCATAATCTATTAAATATACTATGTAATAAACTACTCGTTTACTCCCCTAATTCTATAAAGTTAAAAAATCATGAATCAATCGATCGAGGTGGCCTACAATATTGCAGAATACCCTCTTAAAATGTCAGCATAATGCTATTGAATTTGGTATCTCAAATGTGGAATTCAAATTTTATTTCAAATTTATAGCATAATTATTACTCCAAGATGGTTGCATAAAAATCAGTCAGGCTTCCAATAGTTACGAAAAAGTCCATCTGCCTCTAAGAATAATACAAACCACTATTCTGAGACACCTACATCTAACAAATTTCTGCGTGTTTCGCATATCATTCTAATTGAGATTTACTATAAATCTTATCTAAAATGTTTGCAAACACGAGACTGCAGCTTTAAAACTTTTTGTGTCCGTCGCCATAAGTAACAACAAGCAAATGCTTCCACGCTACAGGATAAATTTCTAGTATAGGGCAAATTTTCTAAAAGAAATTAAGAGACAGTGTAGTGGCAATGTAAGAATATCCACTATCTCGTGTTATCACGTGGGTGTCGTCAACTTTCTGATAGTAGCCGAAAATGTAACAACCAAACAAAAAATCTAAAGGCCAACCCCCTTGCCAACTGCCAGCGGCAACTATGGTAAACTCTCTTACGAGACTATCTATCAGGTAGGCATAAAGACTTATGGTCAGTAGTGGATATTTGATCATCTGTAATGAATGAAAAATGAAGACGACAAAATTTTTAAAAATATTGTACTTACTGAAAGCACAGGATCAAATTCGAATCCAGAGCTACAATGGAGTTCTATTGCCGTACCACCGGCACACATATAAAAGTAGTTGCATAGATCAGGATGTGCGACATTTCCGAATACGCCAGGTGGACATATTTCTACTTTTGTCGTGGTTTCTAATAGAATGGTTGTATCTCCTTGTTCCGATGTGTCCTGTTTCGTTGTGTAATCTAATTCTTGTCCAGTTGAATCTATTCCTTTTGTTGTAAACTCAGTTTGTCCAAAAAATGTCGTTGCTTTTGAATTTGAATTCGTGTTAACGTCTCCAACACTTACTGTTGATGAGTCATTATTTTCAGGATTAGCTTGCGTAGTTCTGACTAAAAGAAAAATTATGTTTTTTTTCATTACCCATTTAATATACTGCACACTTTACTAAATTTATAGAATAAAACTCTGAGTAGAGATTTTATTTATTTATTTAAACTTTTATGCGCATAAAATAAAATCGTACATATGACGGAATTTAATACCGTAAGGCATTCTCTCCCAGTCAACTATTAGGCTAAGCAGAGATAAATATATGGGTGGTAATGCAACAAAAGTAACTAATAATGAGAAAAAAAGATAATGAAGTTCGAATAAACCAGAATATATATACATATATATTTATTTATATATACAAATTTTAGTAAGCATAATATTGTAATTATTGTTTACATCATTATGTGTAATATTCAAATCTCAAGCTTTGAAGAATTTTATGTAAGATTTTATTGAAAATGTTGTTGTATACGAACCTCCTTGCGCTGTGCATCCGTTTTCGGATATTGGTACACATTGCTGAAAGTAAATGGAAAATAGGTTATAATAATAACAAAAATTAAACAATTAAAACTGTGATGATGATTACGTTCTCAAAGCCAATTTTTAGTTATAAATCAGAAATTTTGTCTTTAAAAGATCGCCAACAAATGCATTTATTCATCTTTACTTCCTCTAATCTGATGGAGATTAAGATAGGTTAAGTCAAAACATTACTCCAACACATTAACAGAAATACTGATCGTCACAAAACAATAAGTTTTGATAAATATTGGTTTCAGGAAAAATTCTTGTACCAGAATTAACTGGTCGAGATGTAGTTGAAATTTGGCAAAATATTAATGGAGGCGGCTTAAGGATACGAGCCGACCCATATCATCCTGTGGGTGATTTAATTAAATAAGTGCCATGCTATCGAAATTAATACAAATTATGTTTAGCAAAGTAAAAACTTACGGCTATTTCTGGATCGAATTCAAATCCATCACTGCAATGCAGTAGTATCGGAATTCCTCCCGTACACATATAGAATGAGTCGCATAGAATCGGATGGGGAACATTACCAAAGGCACCCGGCGAGCATATCACAGCCTGCGTTGTAGCCTCGATATTCACAGTTGTAACACTTGGTTTTTCAGTGGTTATCCCGTTAGCAGAAGTTGTATATATTTCTGAAGACGTCTCGACGGTATTAATAATAGTGCTGAAAGTATTTTTAATATCTTCTGTTGTTTCGGATGAATTCGAAGTTAAATTCTCTTCTGTAGTAGAATGTACAGTTGAGTGTTCAGTTTTGGATGTAGTTTGTGGCACTTTTGTAGTAGCTCCAGGAACTGTTTCTTTTGATGTTGTATATGTACTTTCATATTTAGTGCTGCCAGGTGTCTCTTCCATTTTAAAAGTTGTAGATACAGGTTCTTCTGAAGTAGTCTTCTTTTCTTCTGTAGTCAGCGTCCATTCGATGGCATCGGTTGTTATCGTATGTGTTTGATCGGTACTAATATCTGTGACATGGTCGGTTGATTCTCCGCTAGTCGTCGTAGGATCGTATTTTGTCGTCACACTGTCGGTGGTTGATGTCACTGTAACAATTGTCGTTAAACTTTATGTCTATTAATAGAATTTACAGCATGGTAAGATTCTTTTATTATTACTTTTTCCCACCAACTAGCCGAACGTGCGCTGCTGTGTTGCAGTGTAAAGAGTATATAGAATTAATGTTATTACAGGCTATGAGGCCTTTTATCTTAGTCTTAAAATGTGACAACGTCTATTTAGACTTCTTTGGTTGAAGATAATTGCAAATGTCCGAGGGTTGCAGTAGCTAATTACCAACACAGGGATTGTTAGTTCGCTAGTCACTTCAATGATACAAAAAATAACAATTAGATTTTAGATTTTATAGAGTAGTAATTATTTTTTGCTCTTACCTCTTGAAGCGGTACAGCCGCTATCGGAAATCGGCAGGCAGTCCTAAAAATGTTTAAAGTAGTATTGAAGTGACTTTTATTTTGATGAAATAATTAATTCGTATAATTATGTAAATTTCAATATTTTTATAAATTAAAACTTACTGCAATCTCTGGGTCGAATTCGAATCCATCACTGCAATGCAGTAGTATCGGAATTCCTCCCGTACACATATAGAATGAGTCGCATAGAATCGGATGGGGAACATTACCAAAGGCACCCGGCGAGCATATCGCAGCCTGTGTTGTAGCCTCGATATTCACAGTTGTTATTTGTACGTCGTCATTTGTAACAGTTGGTTTTTCAGTGGTTATCCCGTCAGCAGAAGTTGTATATATTTCTGAAGCCGTCTCGACGGTATTAATAATAGTGCTGAAAGTATTTTTTATATCTTCTGTTGTTTCGGATGATTTCGAAGTTAAATTCTCTTCTTCAATTGTAGTTTTCGTCTGAAATGTCGTAGATGGTAAGTTTTCTGTCACAGTTTGTACAGATGTTGACATCCCTCCAGCAGTAGATTTCGTTGAGTCCGTCTGAGAGTTCTCTAAAGTGGTCGATATATCTACAGTAATTTTTGGGTTTTCTGTAGTAGAGTGTACTGTTGAGTGTACAGGTTCGGATGTAGTTTGTGGCACTTTTGTAGTAGCTCCAGGAACTGTTTCTTTTGATGTTGTATATGTACTTTCATATTTAGTGCTGCCAGGTGTCTCTTCCATTTTAAAAGTTGTAGATACAGGTTCTTCTGAAGTAGTCTTCTTTTCTTCTGTAGTCAGCGTCCATTCGATGGCATCGGTTGTTATCGTATGTGTTTGATCGGTACTAATATCTGTGACATGGTCGGTTGATTCTCTGCTAGTTGTCGTAGGATCGTATTTTGTCGTCACACTGTCGGTGGTTGATGTCACTGTAACAATTGTTGTTAAACTTTAGGTCTATTAATAAAATTTACTGCATGGTAGGATTCTTTTATTATCACTTTTTGCCACCAACTAACAGTGCGTGCGATGCTGTGTTGCAGTGTGAAGAGCATAGAGAACTAATATTGTTACAGGCTATGAGGCTTTTTATCTTCGTCCTAAATTGTGACAACGTCTATTTAGCCTTCTTTGGTTGAAGATAATTGCAGGTGTCCGAGGGCTGCAGTAGCTACTTATCAACACAGGGACTGTTAGTTCGCTTGTCACTTCAATTATACAAAAAATAACACTTACGTTTTAGATTTTATAGATACCATTATGGATGTATTGCGACAAGCTATGGAGTATTTTATACCCTTCTCTGACGCTCTCACCGGTAGCATAGCTCGCCCATGATTTAACGCTGAATGCGCCCAAGCTGAAAATCGTAAGCATTTAGCGTATCTATCCTGGGCTGACGCTCGACACCGCAAATATCCGGATATTAGCTTCAAGAAAAGAACATTCAACCAGACCGCCAAGTCCTACAAAAAAGCATTACGGAAAGCCAGTCTCCAGCGCACTAAACATATTGGCGCAAAACTCTCTGCCAGACCATCCGGCACTAGATTTTTTTGGTCTCTCGCCAAAGCGATTGAGACAAACTTCTGTCGGCCTACACTGCCTCCACTGGTAAAACCGGATGGCTCACTGGCGCATACTGTTAAAGAGAAAGCGGACCTGTTCGCGTCTCTTTTTGCCCACAATTCACGTCTGGACATTGGCAACAACGTTCGACCTAAATTACCTCACTGCTGCATCTCTATGTCGGTGGTTCGTATCACAAACAAGCAGGTGAATAAAGCTAGTGGACCAGATGGTATAACAGTTATAGTTCTAAAGGCTTGTGCTCCTGAGTTGTCTCCTGTGCTGAAACCTTGTTCCGCCTCTCATTTAGGACTGGAATAGTGCCAAAATCCTGGAGGCTGGCCAACGTGCAGCCTGTTCCAAAAAAAGGCAGCCGTGCCGACCCTGCCAAATATCGGCCAATCTTAATTACCTCCATACTCTACAAGATTATAGAGCATATATTAACGCCCGCTTAGTGACATACCTAGAACATATTGACCTCCTTAGTGACCGGCAATATGGGTTTCGCCGAAATCGGTCAGCTGGGAACCTTCTAGCGTATGCCACACACGTATGGGGCGAGGCACTCGAGAACAGTGGGGAAACAATTGCTATTTCCTTTGATGTCTCGAAGGCCTTTAACAGAGTTTGGCACTCTAGCCTTTTGGGTAAGCTTCCAGCGTACGGCTTATCCCCTGGTCTGATTGAATGGGTAAAGGACTTTCTGAGTGAATGGTCTCTCCGGGTCGTCGTCGATGGCTGCTCGTCCGATCCTATGGCAACTAACGCCGGTGTTCCTCAGGGGTCCGTTCTCTCCACAACTTTCTTCCTGCTGCATATTAATGATCTGCTTATACCCGGTATCTATGGGTATGCAGACGATAGCACAGTTGTGGAGAGATACCAACCAAGTCCTCGGGCCAGTCGGGATCAAATCCTGTCCGAAAGAGAAGCTATGGTAGACTGTGTGAGTCTGATACTACAGGCAGTCTCCGAATGGGGCGATGCCAATCTTGTGAAATTCAACGCCTCCAAAACACAAGCGTGTCTCTTCACTGCAAAAATTAGCCAGCTTACCTTGGCTCCTTCTTTCCGAAATGTATCACTGGAATATACCGACCGCCTTCAGTTGTTAGCGTTTGAGATATACTCAAATCTGAACTTTATGCGGTTCATTGAGTCCAAGGCCAAAGCAGATGCAAGGAAGCTGGGAGTCCTTACAAAGGTGTGGCGATACTTAACGCCGGGACAGCTGCTTATTTTATATAAAGCGCAAGTCTGGTCGTGCATGGAGTATTGCTGCCATATGTGGGCTGGTGCTGCAAAATGCCATCTAACAGCTTTGGACTCAATGGAAGGGCGTGCTAAGAGGCTTATTGGTGACCCAAATTTGGTTACAACCAATCTTACTAGCCTCGAACACAGACGCAAAGTAGCCAGTCTTTCGGTTTTCTACAGGATGCATTTCGGAGAGTGTGCGCAGGAATTGCATAATTTAATTCCTCCCTCTCCCTTCCACCATCGGACAACCAGACGTTCGACCAGTCTCCACCCTTTCGGTGTTGGTTGAAAATAATTGTAGGTGTCCAAGGGCACGCATTCGAACCAAACGGTTCGCCACGGCGTTCATCATGCGTACAGCAAAGGAGTGGAATAAGTTGCCAGTATCTGTCTTTTCATCCGATTACAGTGTGGGTGTCTTCAAGACAAGAGTGAATAGGCGTTTATTAAGTCAATGTTCTTCACCATTTTAGGCTACATCACCACTTACCATCAAGTGGGATCGTAAATAAGCGCTGACTTAGTAGAATATAAAAAAGTAGTAAATATTTTTTGCTCTTACCTCTTGAAGCGGTACAGCCGCTGTCGGAAATCGGCACGCAGTCCTAAAAATGTTTAAAGTAGTATTGAAGTGAACTATTATTTTGATGAAATAATTCATTATTACAATTATGTAAATTTCAAGATTTTTATAAATTAAAACTTACTGCAATCTCTGGGTTGAATTCGAATCCATCACTGCAATGCAATAGTATCGGAATTCCTCCCGTACACATATAGAACGAGTCGCATAGAGTAGGATGGGGAACATTACCAAATGCACCCGGCGAGCATATCGCAGCCTGTGTTGTAGCTTCGATATTCACAGTTGTCGTTTGTACGTCGTCATTTGTAACAGTTGGTTTTTCAGTGGTTATCCCGTCAGCAGAAGTTGTATATATTTCTGAAGCCGTCTCGACGGTACTAATAATAGTGCTGAAAGTATTTTTTATATCTTCTGTTGTTTCGGATGATTTCGCAGTTAAATTCTCTTCTTCAATTGTAGTTTTCGTCTGGAATGTCGTAGATGATAAGTTTTCTGTCACAGTTTGTACAGATGTTGACATCTCTCCGGCAGTAGATTTCGTTGAGTCCGTTTGAGAATTTTCTAAAGTGGTCGATATATCTACAGTAATTTTTGTGTTTTCTGTAGTAGAATGTACAGTTGAGTGTACAGTTTCGGATGTAGTTTGTGGCACTTTTGTAGTAGCTCCAGGAACTGTTTCTTTTGATGTTGTATATGTACTTTCATATTTAGTGCTGCCAGGTGTCTCTTCTATTTTAAAAGTTGTAGATACAGGTTCTTCTGAAGTAGTCTTCTTTTCTTCTGTAGTCAGCGTCCAGTCAATGACATCGGTTGTTATCGTATGTGTTTGATCGGTGCTAATATCCGTGACATGGTCGGTTGATTCTCCGCTAGTCGTCGTAGGATCGTATTTTGTCGTCACACTGTCGGTGGTTGATGTAACTGTAACAATTGTCATTAAACTTTAGATCTATTAATAAAATCTATTGCATGGTAGGATTCTTTTATTATCACGTTATGCCACCAATTAGCAGTGCGTGCGATACTGTGTCGCAGTGTGAAGAGCATAGAGAACTTATGTTATTACAGGCTATAAGGCTTTTTTTGTTAGTCCTAAGATGTGACAACGCCTATTTAGACTTCTTTTGGTTAAAAATAATTGCAGGTGTCCAAGGGCTGCAGTAGCTACTTACCAATATAGGGACTGTTAGTTCGCTTGTCTGTCCAATTATATAAAAAATAACACTTAGGTTTTAGATTTTATAGAGTATTAATTATTTTTTACTCTTACCTCTTGAAGCGGTACAGCCGCTGTCGGAAATCGGCACGCAGTCCTAAAAATGTTTAAAGTAGTATTGAAGTGAACTATTATTTTGATGAAATAATTCATTATTACAATTATGTAAATTTCAAGATTTTTATAAATTAAAACTTACTGCAATCTCTGGGTTGAATTCGAATCCATCACTGCAATGCAATAGTATCGGAATTCCTCCCGTACACATATAGAACGAGTCGCATAGAGTAGGATGGGGAACATTACCAAATGCACCCGGCGAGCATATCGCAGCCTGTGTTGTAGCCTCGATATTCACAGTTGTTGTTTGTACGTCGTCATTTGTAACAGTTGGTTTTTCAGTGGTTATCCCGTCAGCAGAAGTTGTATATATTTCTGAAGCCGTCTCGACGGTACTAATAATAGTGCTGAAAGTATTTTTTATATCTTCTGTTGTTTCGGATGATTTCGAAGTTAAATTCTCTTCTTCAATTGTAGTTTTTGCCTGGAATGTCGTAGATGGTAAGTTTTCTGTCACAGTTTGTACAGATGTTGACATCTCTCCGGCAGTAGATTTCGTTGAGTCCGTTTGAGAATTTTCTAAAGTGGTCGATATATCTACAGTAATTTTTGTGTTTTCTGTAGTAGAATGTACAGTTGAGTGTACAGTTTCGGATGTAGTTTGTGGCACTTTTGTAGTAGCTCCAGGAACTGTTTCTTTTGATGTTGTATATGTACTTTCATATTTAGTGCTGCCAGGTGTCTCTTCTATTTTAAAAGTTGTAGATACAGGTTCTTCTGAAGTAGTCTTCTTTTCTTCTGTAGTCAGCGTCCAGTCAATGACATCGGTTGTTATCGTATGTGTTTGATCGGTGCTAATATCCGTGACATGGTCGGTTGATTCTCCGCTAGTCGTCGTAGGATCGTATTTTGTCGTCACACTGTCGGTGGTTGATGTAACTGTAACAATTGTCATTAAACTTTAGATCTATTAATAAAATCTATTGCATGGTAGGATTCTTTTATTATCACGTTATGCCACCAATTAGCAGTGCGTGCGATACTGTGTCGCAGTGTGAAGAGCATAGAGAACTTATGTTATTACAGGCTATAAGGCTTTTTTTGTTAGTCCTAAGATGTGACAACGCCTATTTAGACTTCTTTTGGTTAAAAATAATTGCAGGTGTCCAAGGGCTGCAGTAGCTACTTACCAATATAGGGACTGTTAGTTCGCTTGTCTGTCCAATTATATAAAAAATAACACTTAGGTTTTAGATTTTATAGAGTATTAATTATTTTTTACTCTTACCTCTTGAAGCGGTACAGCCGCTGTCGGAAATCGGCACGCAGTCCTAAAAATGTTTAAAGTAGTATTGAAGTGAACTATTATTTTGATGAAATAATTCATTATTACAATTATGTAAATTTCAAGATTTTTATAAATTAAAACTTACTGCAATCTCTGGGTTGAATTCGAATCCATCACTGCAATGAAATAGTATCGGAATTCCTCCCGTACACATATAGAACGAGTCGCATAGAGTAGGATGGGGAACATTACCAAATGCACCCGGCGAGCATATCGCAGCCTGTGTTGTAGCCTCGATATTCACAGTTGTTGTTTGTACGTCGTCATTTGTAACAGTTGGGTTTTCAGTGGTTATCCCGTCAGCAGAAGTTGTATATATTTCTGAAGCCGTCTCGACGGTACTAATAATAGTGCTGAAAGTATTTTTTATATCTTCTGTTGTTTCGGATGATTTCGAAGTTAAATTCTCTTCTTCAATTGTAGTTTTTGCCTGGAATGTCGTAGATGGTAAGTTTTCTGTCACAGTTTGTACAGATGTTGACATCTCTCCGGCAGTAGATTTCGTTGAGTCCGTTTGAGAATTTTCTAAAGTGGTCGATATATCTACAGTAATTTTTGTGTTTTCTGTAGTAGAATGTACAGTTGAGTGTACAGTTTCGGATGTAGTTTGTGGCACTTTTGTAGTAGCTCCAGGAACTGTTTCTTTTGATGTTGTATATGTACTTTCATATTTAGTGCTGCCAGGTGTCTCTTCTATTTTAAAAGTTGTAGATACAGGTTCTTCTGAAGTAGTCTTCTTTTCTTCTGTAGTCAGCGTCCAGTCAATGACATCGGTTGTTATCGTATGTGTTTGATCGGTGCTAATATCCGTGACATGGTCGGTTGATTCTCCGCTAGTCGTCGTAGGATCGTATTTTGTCGTCACACTGTCGGTGGTTGATGTAACTGTAACAATTGTCATTAAACTTTAGATCTATTAATAAAATCTATTGCATGGTAGGATTCTTTTATTATCACGTTATGCCACCAATTAGCAGTGCGTGCGATACTGTGTCGCAGTGTGAAGAGCATAGAGAACTTATGTTATTACAGGCTATAAGGCTTTTTTTGTTAGTCCTAAGATGTGACAACGCCTATTTAGACTTCTTTTGGTTAAAAATAATTGCAGGTGTCCAAGGGCTGCAGTAGCTACTTACCAATATAGGGACTGTTAGTTCGCTTGTCTGTCCAATTATATAAAAAATAACACTTAGGTTTTAGATTTTATAGAGTATTAATTATTTTCTACTCTTACCTCTTGAAGCGGTACAGCTGCTGTCGGAAATCGGCACGCAGTCCTAAAAATGTTTAAAGTAGTATTGAAGTGAACTATTATTTTGATGAAATAATTCATTATTACAATTATGTAAATTTCAAGATTTTTATAAATTAAAACTTACTGCAATCTCTGGGTTGAATTCGAATCCATCACTGCAATGCAATAGTATCGGAATTCCTCCCGTACACATATAGAACGAGTCACATAGAGTAGGATGGGGAACATTACCAAATGCACCCGGCGAGCATATCGCAGCCTGTGTTGTAGCCTCGATATTCACAGTTGTTGTTTGTACGTCGTCATTTGTAACAGTTGGTTTTTCAGTGGTTATCCCGTCAGCAGAAGTTGTATATATTTCTGAAGCCGTCTCGACGGTACTAATAATAGTGCTGAAAGTATTTTTTATATCTTCTGTTGTTTCTGATGATTTCGAAGTTAAATTCTCTTCTTCAATTGTAGTTTTCGTCTGGAATGTCGTAGATGGTAAGTTTTCTGTCACAGTTTGTACAGATGTTGACATCTCTCCGGCAGTAGATTTCGTTGAGTCCGTTTGAGAATTTTCTAAAGTGGTCGATATATCTACAGTAATTTTTGGGTTTTCTGTAGTAAAATGTACAGTTGAGTGTACAGTTTCGGATGTAGTTTGTGGCACTTTTGTAGTAGCTCCAGGAACTGTTTCTTTTGATGTTGTATATGTACTTTCATATTTAGTGCTGCCAGGTGTCTCTTCCATTTTAAAAGTTGTAGATACAGGTTCTTCTGAAGTAGTCTTCTTTTCTTCTGTAGTCAGCGTCCATTCGATGGCATCGGTTGTTATCGTATGTGTTTGATCGGTGCTAATATCCGTGACATGGTCGGTTGATTCTCCGCTAGTCGTCGTAGGATCATATTTTGTCGTCACACTGTCGGTGGTTGATGTCACTGTAACAATTGTCGTTAAACTTTAGATCTATTAATAAAATTTACTGCATGCTAGGATTCTTTTATTATCACGTTATGCCACCAATTAGCAGTGCGTGCGATACTGTGTCGCAGTGTGAAGAGCATAGAGAACTTATGTTATTACAGGCTATAAGGCTTTTTTTGTTAGTCCTAAGATGTGACAACGCCTATTTAGACTTTTTTGGTTAAAAATAATTGCAGGTGTCTGAGGGCTGCAGTAGCTACTTACTAATATAGGAACTGTTAGTTCGCTTGTTTTTCCAATTATATAAAAAATAACACTTAGGTTTTAGATTTTATAGAGTATTAATTATTTTTTACTCTTACCTCTTGAAGCGGTACAGCCGCTGTCGGAAATCGGCACGCAGTCCTAAAAATGTTTAAAGTAGTATTGAAGTGAACTATTATTTTGATGAAATAATTCGTTATTACAATTATGTAAATTTCAAGATTTTTATAAATTAAAACTTACTGCAATCTCTGGGTTGAATTCGAATCCATCACTGCAATGCAATAGTATCGGAATTCCTCCCGTACACATATAGAACGAGTCGCATAGAGTAGGATGGGGAACATTACCAAATGCACCCGGCGAGCATATCGCAGCCTGTGTTGTAGCTTCGATATTCACAGTTGTCGTTTGTACGTCGTCATTTGTAACAGTTGGTTTTTCAGTGGTTATCCCGTCAGCAGAAGTTGTATATATTTCTGAAGCCGTCTCGACGGTACTAATAATAGTGCTGAAAGTATTTTTTATATCTTCTGTTGTTTCGGATGATTTCGAAGTTAAATTCTCTTCTTCAATTGTAGTTTTCGTCTGGAATGTCGTAGATGGTAAGTTTTCTGTCACAGTTTGTACAGATGTTGACATCTCTCCGGCAGTAGATTTCGTTGAGTCCGTTTGAGAATTTTCTAAAGTGGTCGATATATCTACAGTAATTTTTGGGTTTTCTGTAGTAGAATGTACAGTTGAGTGTTCAGTTTCAGATGTAGTTTGTGGCACTTTTGTAGTAGCTCCAGGAACTGTTTCTTTTGATGTTGTATATGTACTTTCATATTTAGTGCTGCTAGGTGTCTCTTCCATTTTAAAAGTTGTAGATACAGGTTCTTCTGAAGTAGTCTTCTTTTCTTCTGTAGTCAGCGTCCAGTCGATGACATCAGTTGTTATCGTATGTGTTTGATCGGTGCTAATAACCGTGACATGGTCGGTCGATTCTCCGCTAGTTGTCGTATGATCGTATTTTGTCGTCACACTTTCGGTGGTTGATGTCACTGTAACAATTGTCGGTAAACTTTAGGTCTATTAATAAAATTTACTGCATGCTAGGATTCTTTTATTATCACGTTATGCCACCAATTAGCAGTGCGTGCGATACTGTGTCGCAGTGTGAAGAGCATACCGAACTAATGTTATTACAGGCTATAAGGCTTTTTATTTATTTATTTATTCTTTATTGTGTTGCACCTTAATCTAAGGAATACAATGGGCGGACTCAATGCCATATGGCATTCCCTACCAGTCAACCCTGAGAGAATTAAACAAAAAAAAGTTGGTAGGTATCAAAAAGTGTTAAAATTACTAGACATAATATATTGTATATAAACATAAAATATATTTGCATACGTTTTATCTTAGTCCTAAGATATGACAACGTCTATTTAGACTTTTTTGTTTGAAGATAATTGCAGGTGTCTGAGGGCTGCAGTAGCTACTTACCAACACAGGGACTGTTAGTTCGCTTGTCTCTCCAATAATAACACTTAGGTTTTAGATTTTATAGAGTAGTAATTATTTTTTACTCTTACCTCTTGAAGCGGTACAGCCGCTCTCGGAAATCGGCACGCAATCCTAAAAATGTTTAAAGTAGTGTTGAAGTGACTATTATTTTGATGAAATAATTCATTATTACAATTATGTAAATTTCAACATTTTTATAAATTAATACTTACAGCACTCTCTGGGTCGAATTCGAATCCATCACTGCAATGTAGTAGTATCGGAATTCCTCCCGTACACATATAGAATGAGTCGCATAGAGTAGGATGGGGAACATTACCAAATGCACCCGGCGAGCATATCGCAACCTGTGTTGTAGCCTCGATATTCACAGTTGTTATTTGTACGTCGTCATTTGTAACAGTTTGTTTTTCAGTGGTTATCCCGTCAGCAGAAGTTGTATATATTTCTGAAACCGTCTCGACTGTATTAATAATAGTGCTGAAAGTATTTTTCATATTTTCTGTTGTTTCGGATGATTTCGAAGTTAAATTCTCTTCTTCAGTTGTAGTTTCAATTTTAAAAGTTGTAGATACAGGTCCTTCTGAAGTAGTTTTGGTTTCTTCTGTTGTCAGTGTCCAATCGTTTGTGTCTGTTGTTATTTCTGGACTTAATGTCATGGTTGAAATTGTATGTGTTTGATCGGTACTAATATCCGTGACATGGTGGGTTGATTCTTTGCTAGTTGTGATACTGGCGGTGGTTGAAGTCACTGTAATATAATGTTGCTGTTAATATTCTACTTTATGATTTATGATAAGGTTTCAGGGGACACTTAAGAAATGGAAAATATTTTGAATTCTTACCTCTCGAAGCGGTACAGCCGGTATCGGAAATCGGCACGCATACCTAAAAATATAATATACAATTAGTAATATTTTACTGAATGTACTAGCTATGAGTATTTCTGTTGTCAGAAAAAGAATTATTATATATAAATATTTAAAAATGGCAACTTACGGCCAGCTCTGGATCGAATTCGAATCCATCACTACAAAACAGTTGTATTGGTATCCCACCTGTGCACATGTAAAATGAGTTGCATATGGTCGGATGAGGAATATTACCAAACACTCCAGGCAAACATGTGGCAGCCTGTGTTGTAGCCTCCGTTTTCTCAGTTGTTGTTTTTATTTCGTCACTCGTAACAGTAGGCCTTTCAGTGGATACACTGTCAGTAGATATTGTACGAATTTCCAAAGTCGCTTCGATGGTACTGGTAATAAGGCTAGAAGTAGTCATATCTTCTGTTGTTTCCACCGTTGTTGATGCATTTGGTTCAGCGGTAGTTAGCGTTGAGCTTGCTTCAAAATTATCTAAAGTGGTCGATATATCAGAAGTCGCTTTCTGGTTTTCTGTGGTAGACGAGCCATACTCTGGTATATCAGAAGTCGTGAATACCTGTGAGGTTGACGCCGTTATAAAGTCATTTGTAACTGTTATGTACTTTTCCGTAGTAGACTGCGAAGTTTTTGATGTACTATGATCCGTAGTCGATTGCAATTCTTTTGTCGTCGTGTATGGACAGTTCAAAGTTGTTTCTACATGATCTGTTGATGTTTGTATATTTATAGTGTTTGTTGGTTGTGTATTTTGTGATTCCTCTGTAAAAGTCTGTGCAGTTTCTGATGATACAACGATATTTTCCGTTGTAGTTATGAAATCGGATGTTATTGTTTGTACTGTAGGTGGTTTTATATCAGATGTGGTTTTATGAGGTAATGTAGTTTCTAACAGTTCTGTTGAATGTGTCGAAGATTCTGTATTTGCTTGAGAATAATCAGAAGAATTTTGCGTTACATCTGATTTTTCTGGTGTTGTTTCTTTAATAGATTCCATAGTAGTCATAGTAACGGTCATGGTGTCTAAATTTTCAGTAGAAACCGCTAAAGTTGTTGTGGATGGATTATCATCGCTGGTATTTGTTACATTAACCTCAGCACTTGTTTGATAGGTATTTGTAACTTCATGAGTATTTTCCGTAACAAATATTGTAGTATGTCCTTCAGTCGATTTCTGTGTTGTAGATGATCCTGTAACATAATTAATATTAACCTAAAAGTGGTTTGAAAAAAATATATTGGTTCAAGTAGTCTTGACTGCCGTCAGGCCAAAGTAGGCTGACGCACGTTATTCTACAAGATACATTTCGAAGAGTGTGCGCTACAATTACATGACTTAATTCCTCCCTGTTCTTTCGGCCATCGGACAAGCAAATGCTCAGCTAGTCTCCACACTTTGTTGTTGACCACGTATTTGGTGCAAATGGTTTTTTTCGTCGTTTGTAATTTATTCAGCGATGGAGTGGAGTAATTTATTAGTCACTTACCCTCAGATTATAATATAGATGTCATTAAGATAATAGTGAACAGGTTCTTGCTTACAGAAGTCAGAGCGCTTTTTAATCTTTATTACTTACACTACATGTCATCATGTGGGATCGTAGTCGAGCACTAGCTTATAATAGGTAAAAAATAACTTTTAATAAAGAGTGAAAACCGACTTCAAGGTACTACTAAATAGTTTAAAATAATTTCCACATAAGAACTTGAAAGGTCGGTACTAAAACAAATTGTATAGTGGAGGCCCAAGGGGCCATAGCTCTGGGCATCACATTTTAGAATGCAGCATTTGTGAAAGAAAAGTGAACTCCTACCTACTTACTAATTATTATAATTATTATTTTAGTCGTTTGAAGTTTGCTTTTACTTATTATTAAAAGTTTAATTTTTTTAACCCCTTTGCGTGGGCTAAGAAATACCACAAGCTAACTATAGCAACAAACAAATTGTCGTCTGAGTATATTAATTTAAACATTTCATCCTCTATTTTACCATCCCTAGGGGTAGAATTTTCTCTCCAAATTTATACAGGACTCTATAAATAACCTATTTAATTAAAATAAATATTAATGATTCTTCAGTTATCTAACAATTGAAGATATAGCATCCTCAAAATTGTTTTCTTAATTTCTCAGCCATTCACGATTTTAGGAAAATATCCAAGTTATCTCTATTATTACAGATATTCCTAAGAGAATTGTTTGTTTTGAATATCACGTAAACGCCGCTGTGTCGAAGAGTATTAGCAATTTATATATAAACGTGGATTGAATTTCTATTTATATGGAAAAACAATTTAAATTGTTTTATATTCTAATTCTGTATTTTTAAGTAAAGAATCTAAAAAGAAGAAGAAGTTATAATATAATCTACTGTAACAAAAAAGATTTCGATTTTAAAAACTGATCACAAACTTTTTTTGAACTGAGCCGCTGTTTTATCGCGTACTACACGTAACTTAAAACTAAACGCACTTAAAACAAAAATAACAATATTAATGATGCCGGTGAAAATCGAACTCTGGATACAAAAGTAGTATAAATGAATAGATGGTTGATAACCCCTGGGAATGAGGTGATCGCTTCCAAGCTGTTTCTAAAATAAATTTTGTACTTATATATTTTGTACAACTATTATTGTAAAATTTGCTTGAAAAAAAAAGTCCCGCTGGGTTTCTTGCTGGTTCTTCCCAGGACAGAGGTATTTTTTTGTACCAGTGGTAAAGTAAAAAATGACTTTCAATAAGAATTACACATGTGATCTATATTGAATAAAAAATTATTCTATTCTATTCTATTGTTTTTAATGACCACGTAATCCGTAAGCTACCACGACGCAGATTTAAACATTCTTCAGTCGGTCAATAAATCAACATATTGTTTTTTTTTTTTGTTTTTACTATTTTGCCAGTTATATTAAGTATTGCCGGCGCATGTTCTATGTACTAGTAGCTTTAATTGGCACAAATCTCAGGACTAAAAATCTATAATATTATAAATTTTGTTAATATGTATGCTGTTGTTATGTCTTACAATTAAATAAATAAACATATTATTTATTGTACTGATTAGGAACAATAGGGATCTGAAAAGTTTCTTCCAGATAATTTCCGGTAGAGACAGTTGTTACCAAAGACTGAAGAATTTTTTTCTTATAGGATATGGTAACAAACGAGCACACAGTCCACCTGATGGTAAGTGGTTGCTGTGGCCCATAGTCATCTACATCTATCCTCGTTTGCGAATCAAAATGCAGATAAACAGCAGATGCGTTGTGACTAAGATGGAATGGCTCTTTTCCAGTAAAAGGGGTCTTCGGTTCTCTACACTCACCATACGAAACACATCAGTGTTAAGCTGCTATTTTACGCTGGCATTCTGTGGGAGCGTGGTTCTTACCCGGTCGAGCCGACCTATTCGTGCTACAACTATACTACTAATATAGCTGTAGCATGGCTCTACCACGTATGATATGTTATGTATTAAAAATACGAAAAGCTTCATATTAATTGAAATAAAAAATATACCTTTTAAAGCTGTACACCCGTTGCTGCTAACTGGAACACAATACTGTAAAATGAAAATGTATTTCAAAAAAAAAATTAAATTATTTAAAAAATGAACTACTGATACGTAGAACTTTGACTAAATTTGTTTAAAGAAATGTCGTTCAACATTTCTTTAAACAAAGCACAAAACAGCACACACCGTGAACAAAGCAAAATGAATTTTTGCTTCTGAGATTGAGGTGGAGCTCGTGACCCATCCTGCACACATTTCAGATCTCGCACCATGCGATTTTTTTATTTTCTCAAAAAATCAAATATTTGATGAGAGGTTTAACATTTACGAAGCGAATCTATGAACTGTAATAGCTACTAAACATCAGGTGGACTCTAGGTTCGTTTGTCACTTATTTATTTTTAAAACAAACATAATTTCTCAGATAGGGTGTAAAATTGTGTATCTAATGTAAGAACGTGCATTCGAAATATATTTTAACGTATGGTATGCAAGTTTATAGATGCTTTGCAATCATTCGTAACGCGTCACCGTGATGCAATTGCAATGTACTGCTAAGGTAGGTTTTAAGGGAATAATTTATATCATCATACATATTTTCTCCAAGTACCTACGTTACCTACACGTGGTGCATTTGCTTCGTGCTAATCAAGGCAACTTTGATTAACAGCAACTGAAATGCCATACCAAAATTTCCCATGCTGGTGACAGGTTGTAACAAAAGCAATGTGACTCTATGCTTATAGTAATTACATACCCGAAATTTCGCTTATACAGCGGAGTATGAGTTGATCATGTGAACTGTTTCTTAATAAACTATTATCAATCGTTGGTTTCAAATCAACAATAAAATTAAGGCAAATGGTATTAAAAATAACTAAGAACTAACTAACTAAAACTAAATAATAGTTTGAAATGGTATCAAAACTTACTCCAAGTGCAGGATCATATTCGAAATCTGTACTGCAATACAGCAGTATAGCGTCTCCGTTCGCACACATGTAAAATGAGTCACACAACTCAGGATGAGGTACGTTTCCATAGTGCCCTTCTGGGCAAACTTTTGGTAGCGTTGTAGTTTTTTCAGCATCATCTACTGTGACTTCTAAAAGCTGCGTTGTAGTATCATACGTTTCTGTATTAAAGTTATCAGTCGTTGTTAGAAGTTCTGCTGTTGTATGAATATTTAATGTCGTTGATTCCAGACTTTCAGTCGTTGTTGACTTATAATTTAACGTGGTTTGTAAGCTCTCTGTAGTACTCAATTGCTCTGCAGTGGAAGAAACATTGTCACTATCTGTGGATTGTGTATGTTCGGGAGTTGTAAAAGTTGTATCTGCCGTATTTAGCAATTCTGTAGTGGTCTGTAGTTCAGGAATATCTTGCTCAGAGGACGACTTATCTAATTCCGTTGTTATTTGTGCTGCGGTTGTCGTTCTATCAGTTGCTTCTGGCGATTTAATTGTTGTCGTAATGACATCTGTTGAAAAGTTGTATTCCGTAGTAGTATCGTGTTTTTCTTCGTTTGTAGTAGTTATTTCTAATTCACTTGTAGTTTTGGTATTTTCTGTTACTTTTTCCGTAACGATTAATGTTGACGAATTATCTAATGTTGACGTAGATCTTTCTACAAAATAAAATCACTTGTCTGGTAAATATTATGCCGTAAAGTTTGATTTTAGATTTTTTAATTAATATACTTTTTAATAAATTAGCGTTTAATTTAAACTTAGCTTGGTTCAAGTTAACTTACATTGATTTCACCCAGGCACGCCAATTTTCCACCCTCACATGCCTCTTCTCATATTCTCTCGCAACAGGAAGCGTACATAGAAAAATTTAATTTTACATACTCAAATGTTTATGATGTACTGTTTCTAAAGACATGAAGCAGTTTATAACTAGTGATAGTGAGAATACTCTAGAGGAAAAATAATTAATAATAATGAAGAGTAAGTGAATATAGAGAAATAAATTTCGGAAGAAAAAAAAAAGCTCTTCGATTTCTTTAATTCTTCGAAATCCTCTTGACACACCGGCTCATATCTTTTATTCATCCTTACATCTCCCTGCATTTTCCCGTATACTATTCGTCGTTCCACTCACTCATTCCATCCATTCAAACATTCTCATTCAAATATACTTTTCATTAATTTACATTCCTACATAATTATTGAATACACACAACACAATACATAATACAAAGAAATTACAACAAAAAAAAGACAAACAAAAAAACTAACAATATATTATACACAAATACGTATGAAAATAGGAGACAAGGATTATTGAAAAAATATTAAAATAATAGATGATAGAAGCGAAGTAGATGAAAGACAAACAGATGTTGTTTAAGGTTCTTAAAACCATTTTATCGTATGATGTTATAAAGAAAAGACTTTGTCAGCGTATAGATTAATATTTATTATGGTGGGGGCTACGGATTTGTCATTCTTCGGTAGAGGCAGGCTTGAGTTTAGGCATGGCTTAGGCAATGCGCTGTTAAATACTCAGAATTATGTAACAAATCCACCTCACGTCATGAAGTAACAAACTACAGGTTTAACCGCTTGTTCCAACTATATGATGGCGATTACCTGCTGTTGCTTTATTCTGATGCCGGTTTTTAAGCGAAGTTAAATCAAACACCTGAGAAGTTTAATTTTTTGAGAATAACTTTAACAATGTTATCATTGGAACTCTGCACTCTCTCTTAGTTTTCAATAAATCGACCAAAAAAACTCTGCAAGAGCAGTGATCAATGCAGAATGCTTTTCGAAAATCAACAAAAGATAGCGGATAGTCGAACTTACTGTGGGCGATAAGACTAAAGAAATAATAAGGCAAAGTTAAGGAAATGACGAATATTGAGATGAGCTAACGATTAAAGTATAAGGAAGTAAAGAAAAGTAAAACCATAACACATTTTCTTAAATACCAATTAAGATATAATTAATTACCTTTTGATGCAGTACAACCATCTTCTGATATTAGAACGCATTCCTAAAAAAAAAAAAAAAACATTTTTTTTTATCAGCACTTTATTTACATACACCATTATAGTGTAGAGCCTGTTCAAACAGTCACATCACTTACCCGAGACTCCGGATTGAATTCAAATCCATCACTGCAAAATAATTGTATTGGAATACCACCACCACACATATAAAACGAATTACAGAGTACTGGATGAGGAATATTTTCATAAACCCCAGGGAGACATAGTTCTACAGATGAGGTATCCGTAGTTGTGTGTATTGCATCAGTCATTGCCTGCAAATTTAGAAACATTTAAGTGAACTTGTGGTTGTCAGCATTTAACAATTCACATCTGGACATGGGCCTCATAATAGGATTTCGCATCGCAATATCAGACGTATGGAAAGTTTAACTTTAGTATGGACTTTAAATTTAAGTAAGTTTCAATATGATTTTTTATTATACTAGCTCACCAGGCAGACGTTGTTCTGCCCTTTCCAACGACCCTTCCTATAAAAATCCTTAAATTCGCAATAAAAAATTTTGAGGCTCATTTATCGGGGTTCAGTAGTTTAGGAGTCCATCGCGGACAAACAACGTTACACGTAATTTTTATAATTAAAGATGATTTTATTTAAACAGGCTTTTATCCCACAAGCATACGTCAGGCTTATCGTACCATACCTTGTTTCTGTTACACATAAATCATGAGTATTTAGATGGTAATCAATGTGTTAGGAATATTTTTTTTTCTGAATGTTTATGCTGTTGGCCCTGCGGCCTTGACAGCTTCGTCTAATTAGGTTCGTAAGTGAGTACTTACGAACTATTGAGTGCAACGATTCTGCCGTCGGCGAGGCGGCGCGAAGCGCCGCTTCGCCGACTGCAGTCCCGAGGCACCCCGACCCCTGCTTTCGGAGTGAGGCTCCTCGAGCTAGGGAGGGGCTCGATGCGATTCAAGGGCCCCTCAGAAGGAGGTACGAACCTCGGCTTGAATCGCTATCGCAATTTTATTAACGAGTCGCAAAAAGTTAGAAACGCCCCGTATCACGGGTGTTAAACCTCGTGTACGGAGTGTGTCTGTGACGTCGCATTCGCCGGCGATTGCGGTGTGCCCTAGTGTTCTGTACTAGAGTAGTGTCTGAGTGTGTGGTTAGGAATATAAGATGATTTTTAAATACTCGGATAAACATTTAAATGCCGTTTGAAAAACACTCGAACAATCAACGGTGCACTATAGCACAGTTTAATATACTAATATGGGAATAATGCTTAATAGCGTAGTAAGCTGAACTTGCTAAGCGCTTATCTGCGACACTTTTGGCACCAGGTGGGAATCTCACGAAAGAAGTGAATGTATGAATGACCCGGAGTACACCTGACGAGAAGATGTGACGTAATCTCCTGAACGCTGCCCAACCGAATCGAATCCGTCAATTGATTCTCGATCGAAGTTAGACTTACCTAGTCGTACTATTTGTCATAGGTAAACATCCTCATCAACAACTTGAAGCATATACATAACTCCCAACAATTATCAGTTTTAGTGTCACATGGACGTTATACATGACCTTTGTTTGGACCTTTTTCATTTTAAGAATTAATCGTTGGGAGACACTATTGAGATCATTAAGCATATTGCTGTGGTCCTTCAGCGATTTTGCCATAATGACTATATCGTCAGAAGATCGAAGGCGAGTACTCAAAAAAGAAGGGTAATGTACTCGCCATTGATGTTAATATCGTATGCTTTCCAGTCCAGTAGCTTGAAGACGTCTTCCAATGCAGCGGTAAAGAGTTTTGGAAATATATCGTCACTCTATCTTACACCTCTCTACAGTTGGATAGGTTTCATACTCTGGTTCTGTACCTTGATCGTCTCACTTCAACACTTCGATATACCAACAGTTAACTTGGCACCGCTGAAGGAACTGTAGCACCGCCCAAATTTCGACGGAATCAAAGGCTTTCTCACCGCATTACCACATACACAAGACAAATCGGCTGGTTGTACTATTCGGTCTTCTATAAAATTTACCGAATGGTATGTGGCCTATGGTTCGGGAGACTGGAATTCATCGAGTCTGCGCGAGAGACGATTCGTAATGACTCTAGAATACAACACGTTGATGCGACACACAAGAAAAATCATTCTGATGTACTTCGATAGAGGGTTGACGCCTTTCTTGAAGAACAAGACCACCGCACTTTTGCTCCACGCCTTCGGAGTAGTGTCTCATGGAGGACGGAAATGAAGACCTTCTGAAGGACTTACAGTACTGGTTTTCCATCCTTATTCAGAAGCTCCGCTATAATTCAAACCTCGCCCAAGACCTGGTCCTTTTTAAGGTGCTGAAGAGCCATTATAATCTCGTACAGACCGACATCCGGAATATCATCAGAATAGTATCGGATGTAACTTGCTCTTGGATAATTATTTACTTGTGTCTTGCGTCGTCTACTTGCGTGACGTCTAACTTGTCTTTCATATCGTTCACTCTATTGCAATCTTCTAAGCACTAAAAACGGTTTTGTAATTCGAGCTGAAAGCATTGACTTTATTAGAAGTGACCTTTCTAACTAATGATTAAGTTTCAGTGTGCCTCTTCCCATTCGGTGATGACTAGTTTTTACTCTCGCGATCACTGAGTCATCACTGAACAGTTGTCGTCTGGTAGTCATAATGAAGTCAATGTCATTTTTTGTCGAACCGTCGGGGCTCGACCAAGTCCACTTTCTGTAGGGCCGCTTCTGGAAAAAAAAGTTCATCATAAAGAGTCCCTCTTTCTCCACAAAGCCGGCCAGCTACTGGCCCCTTTGGTTCCGTTGCCCTATTCCAAATTTCCCTACATTCAGCTCACCGTTCTCTCTTGTGCCTAGTTTTGCGTTGAAGTCTCCCATTTACGCCGTATAATGGGTTATGGAGGAATGCATGGCTCTAGAGATATCCTCATACATTTCCTCCAACTCCTCATCGGGGTGTGCCGAGGTTGGTACGTAAACCTGTATGATCTTCAGCGAATACCGTTTGGTGATTCTGAGTATAAGGTACGCGACCCTCGTCGACACACTGCCAATCTTTACAACGTTGTTAACGAGAAACTTGTGGACGATAAATCCGACACCTCCTTGGGATAGGTGGTCGCCCTCCCGGTGATAGAACAAGTTGCCGGATTCGAGGATTACCGTGTCCTCCCCCTTTCTTCGGACCTCGAATAGTATTCCTATAATATTCCAGCGCAACTTGTCTATCTCTTCTTCAAGCTCCAGGATCTTCTCGTCAGTCCTCAGGATGCGTGCGTTATAAGTTGCCAGGTCGAGTCGTCGTAGGTGGCAACCGAACCTCCACCGGAGATTCTTAGCACCCCCTACCCCGCCGTTACCATGGTCACCACCGTAGCCAAGAATAGCGGGGCCGACGGGGACTGGGGGCCGTCTCTTAGTAACTTTATTCATTTTGGGGGGTATATTGCCATAGTTGCCACGCTTGGCGAGCGGGTTGGCAACCGCAGTTTTTTATTGTTACATTGCTGTTATCAGGAAGATGCTGCTGCCCATCACCTGACTATATCCCACTGTCGCCTCTTACGACACGCACAGATATTCTTAACCGCCACTACACAGCTATAGTTTTTCATTGTTACATAAATCACCCGAGTCTGAAACACCGTAATATATCAAATAATAAACTAACAAAAACCAGAGAATAAAATCCATGTTAATAAGTCGTTATAATCAAGTTTTTAACGTATTTTTTTAGTATAACTATCCACAAATATTAAAGTGTGTATAGTTACTTTATTTGTTGTTTACAAATTATTATTTAATAAAAAAAATATTTTATTATAATCAATTTTTTATGGTTTATTTTTCTTACATGTATAGCTTGATTCGATGTTATACTACATTTAAACTTACAACAAAAATTTTCCATGATAGAATGAATTTATCAACTAAGTTCAAAAACAAATATTGTCGATCCTCAACGGAACGGATATTTTGAAATAGCATCTACGGAATTGTACAGAATTTTTTATACCAATATACGGATTTGGAGAAATTTGATTATAGGTTCTCGGAACCGGTATTTAGAACCGGTACATCGGAACCCGAACCGGAACCGCTACCGGAACTGGAACCGTACCGAAAAGAGGAACCTTTATAAGAACCTAAATGAAGAACCAGAACCGAAATTGGTACCGGTATTCAATCCCTTGAATGTTCTTATGTGTGATGTTCTATACTGATCATTGATTGTTTTACTTTCTATTGTATCAATTTCAGTAGTTGTTACAAACTCAATTGCAGTAGTTTCTGATTGTACCGTGGAGTATATCCCAGTTGTTGGCACTTTGTTATATTATATACAGAGGTATTAGCTATAGGTTCTAACGTTGTTTGTACAGGTTGTGTTGCTTCTGTTTCTTTAGATTCATCGTCTACAGTGCTTGTTTCTACTGATACTATCGTTTGATTATCTATCGTTAGTTCTGTTGGTCCTTCATCTGTTGTCACACTATATTCAGTAGTACTTGGTGCGGATGGTATTGTTAACCTGGGTGTTGTGTGAGGATCTAAGTTCTCACCGTACCGTTCATTGATACAAATTCAGTAGTATTACTTACTACAGGAGCTGTTTCTTTGTCTGGGGTTGTAATACTTACCGTTGAATATTCTGTCGTCGCTGTAGGTCCCGTTCCATGGCTTTCAGTTGTTGTCACTTTAGAAGTTGCACTCGTTTCATTATCATCTGTTATTGTTATAATATCAGGAGTGGGATCATTAGTTCCTGCAGATCCTTCAGTACTTGTTATATCAAGCTCAGTAGTATATTCATGCCCTGTAGTATCGACAGTTGAATAACTTACTACAGGTGTAGAATATTTTATTGTTGTTTCTTCTGTCAAGGTTTCAGTTTCAGTTTCAACGCCTGTTACTAAAGATTCTGTCGTTGTTTTAATTGCACAAGTCACTGTTTGTGGCCAATCACATACCTGAAATTATAAATTATATTTATAATAATAAAAGTGATATGCATAAGTGCTGGCAACGCTAAGTGGCATTCCTTGAAGGAAGCCTTTGTTCAGTAGTGGGCTTATGAGGAGTTGTGATGATAACGAAATAACTTAGAAAACGTTACTTTATTTAGTTGTTAAATAAATGATTAACTGATTTGTTGGTTTAGTGATCGTAAACGCAACTGCTGATCATATTGTCGTGGGTTTGAATCCGAGGTCAAAAATTTTGAAAAAATGATCAGTTATTGGGATTTTCTGTCAACAAATTTTCAATAGCAGCATGTAGTCAGAAATTTGGTGGTGTTTCACTTCCTGTGCCTCAGAAAGCACGTAAAGCCAAAGGTCATGCACCTGACCTCCCTCCGATCGATCTCGAATGAATAAATATTTCACCAGTGCTTGCGCTCACACTTGTACACTATAATGCTGTCCTGCGCTGATGCTAGCCTCCGTTGAGACTGGCCCCGTTACCGAAATTCGACCTTTAGAATATTAGTAAATAATTGAACATGTGTTTTAAAGACCCATCCGTAGGGAGGCACTATTGAGGTCATTGAGCATAGTGCTTAGGCCCTCTAGCAATTCTGCCATAAGGACTTATATCTGTAAGTGTTGTACTCGCCATTGATGTTAATACCGTCCATTCCAGGCCAGTTGAAAACGTCTTCCAATGCATCGTTGAAGAGTTTTTGGGATACAACGTCACCCTTTCTTACAGCTCTCTGCAGTTGGATAGGTTTGTACTCTAGTTGTGTACTCGGATAGCCATCGTAGCCCTACTGTTCACTCACTCAGCACTTCAATATACCGACAGTCAACTTGGCACCACTGAAGGGACTGTAGCGCCACCTAAATTTCGACGGAATCAAAGGCTTTCTTATAGTCCACATGACAAAAATTTGCCGATCGGTATTTATGTGGTCTATGGTATTAAAGCCTTTTCGGAAACCGGCTTGTTCGGGAGGCTAGAAATCATCGAGTCAACTCGTCGTAGTAGGTAAGTCTAACTTCGACCGAGAGGTCAATTGCCGGATTCAACTCAACTGGGCTGCGTTCGGGAAATTACGACACATCTTCTCTTTAGGCATGCCTCAAAACTTTAAAACGAGATTGTACAAACAGCGCGTGTTGCCAGTGTTGCCAGTGAAGTGTACGGCTACTCCCCCACTAGATGGAGTAACAACCTGGTAAGATATGCAGGAAGTCTATGGATGCAGGTGACTCAAGACTATTCTTTGTGGCATTCCTTGAGGGAAGCCCTTGTTCAGCAGTGGACTTAATGATGATGATGGTGATGATGATGTGTTTTTAAAATAAACAAAACATTATACCTGTGCGTTAAAATCAAAAAATGTCCCCGGTGCACAAGTCATCAAAAATTTATGTCCATTGCTGCATGAATAAAACTTAGAACAATCTGTTTCGTGAGGCAATAAAATTGTAGCTGTGGAGTCTGGTGGACATTCAACGTCAATCTTTGTGCTCGCGGTAACGTCAGTGGTTAAATCTGGTAAAGCTGTGTTTGCAGTATAATTAGCTCCGGACTCTGTTGTAGGCTTAGTTGATGCAGAGCCTGTAGTTGTTGGTTCCTCAGTTACATAATCCGTTTTGATAGAGTCTGTAGTCACTGGATCTTCTGTTGCTACATATTCTGTGGTTTGAGTTACTGTCCTATTACAATCCACTGCGCTGGGCCAGTTGCAAACCTACAATTATACGCTCTTTAGTGAAAAAATAATAGGAATAAGTTGTCCTACATTTCAATAATAAAGCAAAGTTTTGTAACCTTTAATTCTAAATGTGGTGAAATAATTCATTTTTTTTATTAGAACTGGAATTTTACCAAAAAGTAAGTAAGTGAAGGTATATTATATTCACCCCTTTTAGGATATTGATTTATTGTTTGGGGATACTTGTATAGATATTGAAAATAAGTATTTTGTGAAATATCCAAAACTTATTTCTATCACACAGTGAAGTGTGGGTAAAAAAGACAGCTGAATTATGGGTAAATTATATATATATATATATATATATATATATATATATATATATATATATATACCAAAACAAACACTTAATATGAACTAAAAGATGTTTTTTATGGCAACTAAATATTTAACAAGCTACCATAGAAAATAAAACTATTAAATATTAACAAATTCAAAAGAAGACCGATGCTTTTATTACGTTAAAGATTTTCTGATATTATTGTATATTCATTCAATTAAGTATATATTTTTTTCTAAATGTATGAATTAATGACTAACTTCTTTTCCTTTGAACAAGTTACAACAGAGATGGACATATCTATACAAATAAATAAAAAAAATCTGTCTGTCTGTTTGTTCCAGCTAATCTACAAAATGAGACTTTCACTGGCAGACAGTTGGCGTTATATGTATATAGTAACTTAGGCTTTAGGCTGCTTTTATTTAAGAAAAATAATCAGGGTTCTACGCAAAAAAACCTAAGCTAGCTATTTAATAAAAAAAAGCTTGTTAATTTCAAACACGTCAATGTTGCTCTAATTTCATATTGTATTGTGTGTGTTATTAGTGTTTTTGATGAATTGAAACTTTACTATTACGTTATACTTCGCAAACTGTTAATAAGTGTCATTATTATTATAATTAGATTTACAGAAATATTTTATTGACATTATCTTATTGGTCCGAGAGCTCATGACGCATTTTTCATGAAGTGTTTGATGCATCATGAAACTTTGTTTAAAGGTATCAGTCGACTCAATAAGCAGGTATATGACTGTCTGCCTGGCCTACCTGGGTACACCTGGTACTGCGCATACAGTTAAGTCGAAAAAAAATTTGCCCAAAAAAAAGTGTTTGATTCAAATAATAATAATGACTATCCGTTAGCTAAGTTTATAAACAATTAAGAAAAAAAATGGCAGACACTTCTGAAGGGGTTTACATAGGGGCAGACGACCACAAAGTTGTATTTTCAAAAATTCCAAAAAAAGTGTTTGATTCAGTCTGCCATTTTTACAGCGTGTTTATTATGTATAATAAAATATTCTCACAAAAAGGCAGACAGTTTCTCCGGGGGTTACTAATTTAAAAATCTATACAAATAAATAATCACTTTTTAAATGGTCCATATTTCCTATCATAATAATTAATACATCTGTATCACATGATTTGATAAGTACATTGACAGCAGAATCCGATTCCAATTGACAAACATGAAAATAATTATACTTTTTTAAGATTATTTAAATAGCTGCTGATAAAATAAAAAGCTGTTCCCCGCGACTTCGCCCGCATGTAATTTAGGGTTTTATTTTTTTTGCGCGGTACCCTAATAATTTTTTTTAAATTTAAAAGCAGCCTAAAATACTCGTTATAACATCAATTATCTGCCAGTGAAAGTCCCGTCAAAATCGGTCCAGCCATTTCGGAGATTAGTCGGAACAAACAGACAGACAAAAATTTTAAAAATTGTGTTTTTGTTATAAATATCGTATATAATGTCTTATGCGTTTAGTAAAAAATTGTTATTTTGAAATTAAAAACAGACATTTAAATTTTATTTATTTGTATAGATTTTTAAATTAGTAACCCCCGGAGAAACTGTCTGCCTTTTTGTGAGAATATTTTATTATACATAATAAACACGCTGTAAAAATGGCAGACTGAATCAAACACTTTTTTTGGAATTTTTGAAAATACAACTTTGTGGTCGTCTGCCCCTATGTAAACCCCTTCAGAAGTGTCTGCCATTTTTTTTCTTAATTGTTTATAAACTTAGCTAACGGATAGTCATTATTATTATTTGAATCAAACACTTTTTTTTGGGCAAATTTTTTTTCGACTTAACTGTATGCGCAGTACCAGGTGTACCCAGGTAGGCCAGGCAGACAGTCATATACCTGCTTATTGAGTCGACTGATACCTTTAAACAAAGTTTCATGATGCATCAAACACTTCATGAAAAATGCGTCATGAGCTCTCGGACCATATCTTTAAACTGACATTCTAATGATTTACGGTAAGACATGTTAATGATCCTAAAAGATATAATTCAACAACTTATTTTACCATAAGTAAAAGTAAGCATGATGGAAGGAAAATGATTAGGCCTAAATAGAAATGTGATGCTTAACATGCTACCACTAACCTGGAGGTCATTATCAAATAACGTTCCGAGTGGACACTGCCTTAAAATTTTCTGACCATTGCTGCATTGGTAAAACTTATCACAGTCTGTCTCGTGCGGTAGCAAGAGATGCACGCTAAAATCCAACGGACAACCATTGGGAAGATGTTGCGCAGAACACGAGACAAGAAGTAGTAGAAATACTATATACATATCTGTGGAATTGGAAGAAATCATATAGAAATTTACATTTCGATACCAGACATCTATTTAAATTTTAAAAAATATTTACTATTATGTATACAAGTAAGTTTATTAATGACATTACTAATAGTTAATATCCTTCAACAAAGCTTAAAATGCTTTGTCGAATGTTTTTTTTTATAGAATAAGGGTGCAACGAGCACACAGTCCAGTCTACCTAACGGTAAATGGAAATGGATGCTGTGAGCCCATAGACATCTACATTTATCCCCGATCAAGAATCAAAATTCAAATGTGCTATCATCCCCGGGGATTAAGATGGAATGCCTCGTTTCCAGTTAAAAGGGTCTCCGAATATCTACACTCACAATGCGAAACACACTTTACTACTTTACGCTGGTATTCTATGCGAGCGTGATTCTTTTGCTATCGAGCCAACATGCATCTGTAATTACTGTGGCGTCTCTACCACGTTAATTTACATAATTTTAACCTGATAAAAACTGTAAACCAAAATACAAAAGCCTATAATAAATCCTTTAGTCCCCTTTAGTTTTTTTTTTATGTGTAGAACTGTTTCAACCCGTTATATTTGGAACGAAGTTCCTTATCGTACGGTACGAATTTCATGGATGGCGGCTAGGCGAGAAAAAGTGTAAAATTTTTATGTCACGACTATAGACTTAATCACGACCCCCTTTCTATACGTCAACAGTGCGAGCGAGATGAAATAATATCCATCTCCCTCCCACTTTTTCTTAACTTGCCATAAAAGAAATATTATTTTAAATGACGCTTCATTTATGTAGACGCTAGTAATTCATTTATTTGTATTTGTTAATAATATAATACGTTTATCAATAATAATATACTACGAAAGGAACTTCGTTCCAACCGAGTGTTCCGCGACACTTATGCATGTTTTTTTTTTCTAAAAATCATTAAAAAATACAACTTATTTTAACATGATAAATGTTCTAAAAATGCGAATTATAATTTTTCCGATAAACATGTCAAATTTGCATTGAACGGATTTGGGATTTCCTTAATCCCTACATGATAAACCTTATCATATCAACACACGGGGTCAAATTTCGTCACTACAGATGATACAAACAATGTTTTATGATCTGTGCTCATCACGTCGTCGATTATTATATTATCGTCGCCATGAATTTTCAGCGCTGGACAATTTTTCTGGCTTGTTTGCATATTTTTCTACGAGCGCCTCGTATGAGAGCTAAGTGCGCGCACGGTGAAGTGAAGACAGTGCTGAGTGGCGAGTGTGAAGAGGTCCCGTTGCTCGTCTGTAGGCTTGCTTTCATGTCAGCATTTTGTCAAAATACCGAGTGTCGTACGCGGGTGCACTATCCACAGTATCGCGTACGTATTTAGAGGGAGTTTACCGACGTGATTGAAATTTTCGTTTGCTTGTTTATGATATCAACTACGACTGAATATTGAAGAAAAATTGAAGTGGCCCCACGAGAACACTATACGCATGTTAGATTGTTCCAAAGTGGGCCAGTAGTTTGCGATTTAAAACACCTGAAAAAGCTTCAACTATTTCGTTTTCTTCTAAAGATTATTTATGCTTTTTTGTACCTTTTCTTTTGTAAAGCAGACAAATGTGCTACTGGTTGTAATGAGTGCGACAGAGAGCGATGATCGCCGATATGTGAAAAAAATGTTTCATTCAAATAATAATAATAACTATCCGTCAGCTAAGTTGATAAAGAATTAAGAAAAGAAAAAAAAATGGCAGTCACTTCTGAAGGAGTTTACACATAGGCAAACTACAAGTACAAGTCGCTAGCAAGATTTATTTTAATACTAGCTGTTCCCCGCGACTTCGCCCGCGTGTAATTTAGGGTTTTATTTTTTTTGCGCGGAACCCTAATAATTTTTCTAAAATAAAAGTAGCCTAAGTTACTCGTTATAACATCAACTAACTGCCAGTGAAAGTCCCGTCAAAATTGGTGCAGCCACATCGGAGATTAGCCGGGACAAACAGACAGACAGACAAAAATTTTAAAAATGGTTGGTGGTTTTGTTATAAGTAGCGTATATACTTTCATATGCATTTAGTGAAAAGCGGTGAATACGGTATAAAATTTTATATGCAGTTAGTAAAAAGCAGTTATTTTTACACACAACACACACTTCAATTTTATTTATTTGTGTAGACTTTTAAATTATTAACCCCCGGAGAAACTGTCTGCCTTTTTGTAAGAATTTTTTATTATTTATAATAAACACGTCTGTCATTTTTTTAATTAATTCTTTATTAACTTAGCTGACATATTATTATTTGAATCAAACACTTTTTTAGGCAAATTTTTTTGCGATTTACCTGTATGCGCGGTACCAGGTGTACCCAGGTAGGCCAGGCAGACAGTCATATACCTGCTTATTGAGAGGACTGATACTTTTCAACAAAGTTTCATGATGCATCAAACTCTTCATTGAAAAATGCGTCATGAGCTCTCGGACCAATATTTCATATTTGTTCTGACATAGATAATATTTCTATGTATTGTATATATATGTACTGTATGCATGTATATATATATGTATGTATTTATATATGTATATATGTGTATGCATGTGTGTGTATATGTATATTTATATGTATATACAATATTTTTAATTTTTTTTAGCCCTTTCTATTTTGATTACTGCTGCACCGCCTCTTGTTTGTATATCTCTGTTTAGCCTAATGGTTGACTTGGAGAGAATGCCCTATGGGATTAAGTCCGCCATATGTACAACTTTGTGCATGAAAGATTAAATAAATAAATATATAATTACAGTGCCGCATTCTCTAGTTTGACAAGTTAAAAAAAAAGCATTGTAGATTTGTCCTATCTTTTATTCTTAATTAGGACAGTCACCAAACTTAGTTAAAATCTGTAGTACTCGTATAAGATCATCGTCAAGCAATACAGTTTTAAGTATACAGTCAATTTGCTCAAGAGTCCACTTCAGTATCCATGATCTATAGTAGCCATTTATCATCAATTGCAGTGTGTAATTTCACTCGTAAATTAATTATATTAAAAAAAATTCGCTCGATCAGTTTAAAAATCGTGATGCAAAAAATAAATTTATTTTGGCCCATTAATTACAAATTTTCTTTAATGTTTGTTAAACCATTAAAAATACTGTTATTAGGCAGTCATTCCATAAAAATCAAGTCATTTTATAACCTATCAATATTTAATAGAAAAATCTAATAAATTAATTTCAGATACACAATCTAATCCATACGTAACAAATGTAGATGCGGGGATTAAGCGTTATCTTGTAGTAAAACAGTGAAAAAATTTGTTACTACATGCTTAATCAATTATCTAATGCGTCATTATTTCTAAGAAATCTGTTGCGTTGATAAAAATTATTGGCAAACAAAGTACGTGGTAGAGACACGCTGCAGCTGTATTATGGCTGGATCACGAATGGGTCCACTCGACCTGGGAAGGACCATGCCCTTACAGAATACCAGCTTAAAATGGCTGCTGCGTTTCTAATGGTGAGTTTTGAGAATCGGAGACCCTTTTTATTGGAAATGAGGCAGGCGTTCCATCTTAGTCCTCAAGATAATAACGCAACTACATTTTGATTTTTAAGCGTTGACTTAAGAGAAGTCTATGGGCCACATTCTCCATTTTACATCAGATTGACTGTGTGTTCGTTTGTCACCCGTATTCAAAAAATAAAATAAAAATAGTAATTGACTAAATGGTGATGATGAGAGCATATTTTTATTTCTTAAATCGTTTGTTACGCTTTCTATTTCAATTTTGTAAAACATCGGGACCTTAAAGAAAATTAAAAATAATTTATAAGATGCCTAAAATTTGTTTTATTTAATGTTTAGTATTCATGTAAATATAAATTATTAGACCGTACCTACTGTACATTAAGAAAAAAAAAGGAATAAATTTCAGTTCTAAAACAATATACAAGCAATACAAGTTTCCGTAAGCTAATCTATACATATAAATAAAATTGAAGTGTCTCTCCGTAATATTGAAATAATTGGCTTGTATTTGCATGCTATTAAAACATAAATAATCATTTTAAATATTTTTGTCGGTATGTCGGTCTATCTGTCCGAGCTAATCTTCGGAGTGTCTGAACCAATTGTGATGAAACTTTACAAACAGATAAGAGCGATGCCATAAGGGATCTAGGCTATATTTTATCCGAAAAACTTGAATATTTTTTGGAAAAAACGAAAAATTGATAAAATAAATTGTTTTGATTATCCTATCCTTGATGAAACCGGCGCGTGTCGATAGTATAACAATATAATTAATAGAAAACACATCAGATTTTATACGTGGTAGAGCCATACTGCAGCTATATTAGTAGTATAGTTGTAGCACGAATGGGTCGGCTCGACCGGGGAAGGACCACGCTCTCACAGAATATCTGCGCAATATAGCAGCTTAATGCTGCTGTGTTTCGTATGGTGAGTGTAGAGAACCGGAGACCGTGTTTACCGGAAACGAGGCATTCCATCTTAGTCCTCACGGGTGACAACGCATCTACATTTTGATTCGTAATTGAGGATAGATGTAGATATCTATGGGTCACAGCAACCACTTACCATCAGGTGGACTGTGTGCTCGTATGTCACCCTTATCCTAAAAGTCTAAAAAGTCTCGTTTGAATCGGTGTAGGGATTTTCGTGAGTTACATACTGAATTGTAAATAAAAACACCGAGAGAATCGGAGACCCCTTTTACTGAAAACGAGATATTCCATCTCAGTCCTCACGGCTGACAATGTATCTGCATTTTGATTCTTAATCGAAGATGTATGTAGATGTCTATGGGCCACAGCATCCACTTACCATCAGTTATACTGTGTACTCCTTCCCCGTAGAAGCTTACATAGTTGCCACTCTTTGCAGATGGGTTGCCAACCACAGTTTTTATTACAAGTTGTTATCAGGAAAATGCTGCCGCCCATCTCATATTCCACTTCCCTCTGTCGCCCCT